ACTCACACATCAAAAATCCTTCTGCAAACTTTCCGAAGATATGGAACAATGATTTCAGTAATGACGAGATAATGCAACTTTTTAAAAAGCAAATTTTGTGCCGTCTGACTAGAACAAAGAATTTAAATGTTGCATATATAAGTATTATAAGCAAAATATTTCAGATCTCCACTTACATTAAAAAAGCTTTATCAGCCTCATAAAACTATCCTCACTCTAAATAATGAAATTGTTTATTATTACACGATCAACTGTATCCATTATAGACTTAAACAACTAAACCCTATACAATTTAGAAACTCTGAGAAGGAGAGGTAATATTCAACTATATATGTTTGTAAACAAAGCATGTAAATTGTTAACTATACAATTGTAAACTAATCATGCAGATTATCCATCCTATAAACTAAAAGGTCTGTTTATATCATAGTCTTTACAACAAACAAACAAAAATTCTAAAAGGAAATTAAAAGAAAAGGAAATGAACCATGACATGTCTCTAGAAACTAGTAATCATAGAGTTGGTGAACTTTTGAGACACAAACTTTCTCAATAATATGTGAGGCAGCGTGGTGGAATCAGGCTCTCGTCAATTTTTCGGCATGTAGAGTTATTGGCATCATCTTAAAGCTTGTTCACCTCTCTTTATTTCGTTGAAAAAATATCCATTTATCTTGAATACAAGTCGAAATATTTGCGAAAGAACAAGGTGGGGGTCACTTGTTTTCGGATGTAAAATTAGTGAGAAAATGGCCACTACAGATTAGTTATTTCCTTAGCTTAAGAGTCCGTGGTAACTGAAAATTAACATCTTCTGTGAATTTTAATCAAGGTTTTTCAGAAAAATCCACACTGAAATGAGTTTTTTAATGGGCATGAAAGGTGTTAAGCCAAAAACAAAAATTGATAAAAATTCAAAAACCTTCGGGAAAATGCAAGTTTTTTCATTTTGATTATTTTGACGAGAGCCTGATTCCACCACGCTGCCTCACATATGTTGGGAAAGCAGTAAGTGCACAGTGCTCCAGTTTGTGCAAATACATGCTTGTGTTACCAAATATTGCTCACCAATTATAAACAAACTATTCACTACTTCTATACGGTAAATTAATATCCAGGGTTACTTTGTTTGAGAGAAGACAAACTAATTGATACAATAAGGGTCAATCTGTGACGGGAAAGGAAAACAGATTGACACAGACAACGGAAGGAAAGAAAGAATTAAGACCAACCAGTGCTGCCCTCCAACCACCCACTTGTCCAGGGTTCACGTTCCCAGAAGACACCAAATCTTCTTAAGACAGAAGGTAAAAAGACAGACCAAGACAACAGTGGCTCCCAACACAGAAACTGTACAGCTCATGAGCATAAAAAATACAGTCGGGCACAGATAACAAGAACATGGAAAACTCAAAATCACGGATAATTCACGGAGACCTCATACAATTTGCCATTCCCCATTTGATATATCTTTAACTTTTCACTGTACAGTTTACCAAATAATGAAGATCTATCAAACATATTTATTTGTCAATCCCCAATGTGTTTCAAGTTATCCGTGCCAGACTGTAATTCCAAAATATCAAAATAGACCTAACCGAGAAGGCAGAATTTGTAACAAGACAATGAACCGTGTCTTTGAGCAAGACACAACTATCCTAAAACAGGATGCCAAGCAGCTGTCAAGCACCAGAGGTAGCTTGCTTGTCTTGTAATATAACGCAGGCTGTGAATATTTAAGAGTACAACATTGTCAACTACATTATTATACAGGTAACATCTTTATTTTTCTTTACTCGCTTACAAGACAACAGGTCGAACACTTCATCATGTAGGAAGCAAAGAACTCAACGCTGCGCTGAAGAATCCTATTCACTTTCTGTGAGAGAAGTGCAAACAATGCCCAACTTTGCCTTATATATATATATAAGAACAGTATATTGTATATTATACACATCGTATGAAAACAATAAAGTGAAGATCAAATGTTTTAAACAAAATGGATTATGGAGCTCTCATTTTGTGATATCCAGAGGAGAGTGACTAAAGGATCATTTTAATTATAGTTTTAGTAATAGTTTTACAGCACTTGCGTCACAAAAAGGTTGTATAAGTGCTGAAGATTTGAGGTGTTACTAGACAGTAACATACTGGTACTAAGAATGGCTGGTGCCTCTATAAATAAATCATTGATAGTCAGACCGGTACTAAGAAAAGAAGGAGGAGAGATAAGGGTGATAAATGTTCAATATGAAAAAAGGAGCAAACCACACCAGAGCACCTTCCAACCACCCACACAGGTTGTTTTCCCCCTGTAAGAAAAAGCTGTGAATTAAAGAACTAGATACAACATTTCTCCCTCACACGTGATGATATGTTGCGTTATAATGGGAATGCATAAACCCGTCACGTGTAATGTCTCATAGAAATTATTTCAATAGACCACACCAATCTACAATAAATGTAAAAGAAATTGCCATTTTGTACAAGATCTCTATACAATGGACTCTGTAAAATATACTCGTGTAAGACACAAGAGAGGTATAGATCTATACATATATGTTACATGTAAACATTTCATCACAATGACTTCAACTCATGGTATAAACCACGGCAAAACTAATACATTGGGAATGGCCATTTTGTACACAATCTGGATACAACATCCTGAAAAATAAACAAATGCATATTCACATTCCTACGACAAACCCTAAACAATGTAACCACAAATTCAATTCCAGACAAAACTCAACATTTGAACACATTATAATCACAGAAAGAAAGGACTTGTAAAACAAAACAAAAACCAACAAAAAAAGTTAGATGAACACAGCAGTAAATGAGACCTCACTAATTAAGTGCTAGTGCATGACAATGTACTTCAGTACAAATATTTGTGACACGGCATGGTGGAATCTGGCGCTCCTCAAACTCTGGGCATATGGGGTTATTGGTATCATCTTATTAAAGCTTGTTCATTTGTCTTGCTTTTGATGAAAAAAAATATCTATCTTCAACAGAAGTCGAAATATCTGCGATTGGAGGCGGAAATCGCCTGGTCTCAGAGGTAAAATTAAATTAGCAAGAAATGGGCATTTCAAAGTGAGAGCGGCCTTAGAAACAGCAAATTTACAATTTTTGTGTATTTCGTCAATACTTTTCAATTAAATCCATACAGAAATGGCTTTTTTAATGATGGACTTTAAAGGTGTTGAGGACACCCCCCCCACCCAAACAGTAGAAATTGCCCTACAGGCGGGACAGTGTCGGTTTCTTCCCCTTAATATTTCACCCAGACGCTACACATTTTATGCATGTCCCGATTCCTGCAGTGCCCAGGCAGATAAAAGTGTCATGTCCGATTCCTACAGTGCCCAGGTAGATAAATGTGTCATGTCCGATTCCTACAGTGCCCAGGTAGATAAATGTGTCATGTCCGATTCCTACAGTGCCCAGGTAGATAAATGTGTCATGTCCGATTCCTACAGTGCCCACGTAGATAAATGTGTCATGCCCGATTCCTACAGTGCCCACGTAGATAAATGTGTCATGCCCGATTCCTACAGTGCCCAGGTAGATAAATGTGTCATGTCCGATTCCTACAGTGCCCAGGCAGATAAATGTGTCACGACGCAGTGGAATCAGGCGCTCGCCAATTTTTGGGCTAGTGGGGTTACTGGTATCATCTAAAAGCTGATTTGTTTGCTTTCCTTCAAAAGAAATAAATATCCATCTATCTTGAAGAGAACTCAAGATATTTGCGATTGAAGGAAATGAGGTCGCCTGGCTTCAGTGGGGAAATTAAGAAGAAAATGGCAGCCAAAGTTTGGTAACTTCAATAGCTAAAGAATCCATGAAAACAGAAAAATGACATATTTTGTGCCTTTAATCAATGTTTTTCAGTAAAATTCATACGAAAATGTATTTTTATACGGACATAAAAGAGGTTGAGCCAAAAAAATAAAAATTCAGATAAAAATTTCCAAACTGGCAGAAAAATGCCTGTTTCTCCGATTTCTGTATTTTGACAAGCGCCTGATTTTACCACGCGGCCTCACAAATCATAATATCTAAAAACACCTCTCCTTTATATATCCTGTCCACACGTGTAATTCTAACTTTGCCCAAGGTTTTAAAAAAAAAAAAGGTGTGTTTTTTTGTAAAAGTACTATGATGATCACTTGAAAATGTTTTTTCCACCAACCAACACATTGTACCAGCTTGTCCAGGCCAAGCCAGGCTGAGACAGAAAACATCCAAGCAGAAAAATGAAGACACTTTACTGTAGGTATCTTTAAGTGCCCCCCAAACTCAGGTCTTCTGCATGCAACAGTAAGTGCCTAACCTCTATACCACATACACCAGTATGACGATACTTGATAAATAAACTTTTGCCTGAGGTTTCCATGCAGCACACAAGGACCTAAGAATTACATCAAAGTGTCAGTCTGCTAAAGTCACCAATAAGTTTATACTTCATACAGACTTCAACATAAGTTAAGGACCACTTGCAAACACACTGAGGGGTCTTCTTGGGTCGACCAGCACGTGGGCGTTCTTGGACTGATCCAGTGGCTTGATGCGCTGCCTCATGCGGACAATGACAGAGTGTGACACTACAAGCCTTCTGGCAACTTCTCGGGCTCCAACTCCATCCTACAGCCATGCCATAGCCCTGGAACCATCAATGTCTCTCAGCTTTCGTCTTGGTGGCATGTTGATGCGACACTGGATTTTGTGCAAATGACGGCTTATATTGCCACCAATGTGAGCACAATTCGAGACCATACATCTGTTTATGACGTGCACCAGACATTTAAACTGAGGAATGTCTGTGGCGTTGCACATAAGTAGATTAAAAAAACAGCAAATTTGGCTAAAATTCCCTGAGGATTTCTGTGCTGCACGTGGTGGTTTTGCCCCTTTAGGAAGCTTTGCAGTACACATTGGTAACCCATTAACACTTTCAGGGAAAAAAATTTGAAACATTCCTTGCTGTCTTTTTTTCGGATTTTTTTATAATCAGGGCTGTCTGTCAAGGTGGTCCATACAATATTTATGTCTAGCAGAAAAAGAAGTTCAAAGTTTTCCTCTCATTGATAACAGAAATGAAATTTAGGATTCAACAGAATTTACTTTTAGTGTGAAACAGAAACCCATTGTTTAAAATCTGTAAATATACATTTGAAGTTACACAGCCAGTCAGATTGTGTACGCCATACTTTTATAGAAAAAAAGAAGAGAAAACAAGAGGAGAGATGGGAAAACAGCATAAAGAGAGGAGGAAAGAACATGTTGAAATATCAGTGGAAGCAGCTAAAAAAAACGGACCCCGGGACCTGTTGGAAAAACATGAGTAGGACTTTGTGCAGTTGTCTGAAGAAGCAGTGAGTAAATAAGTAAGTATAAAGGTTTAACACCCTTATCAACACTCGTAGGTTATTTAAGTGGTGGGACCTCAGAATTTAACACCAGTCTCTGAGAGGACTGAGCCCAAGGCGTTAAGAGCCTTGAAAACTCCAGAAAATTACATTAATTCAAGAATGCCATTTCTGGGATTCGAAACAGGGCCATACACTCCATAGCCCAGCAAGATACCAACTGAGCTAACAGAGCTCCTATACATCAGTGGAAGTGAAAAGAAAACCGACATGGCAGCAAAAGACAAGTAAGGTAAGAATTTGTGCAGTTTTAGAAAAAAACGGCTCCAGCGTGATCACAGTCTGAACTAAAGCCATGAGGACACAGCAGGAGAAAAAGGTTCCTTGTAGAAGAGGAGACACAATTTTGAGTCATTTGAGGTTTTTTATTTTGTGCTGAAAACTTACGCCCATTTCGACAAAGCCCAGGAAAAACGTTTAAAATTTCCGTTTAAAATATGTCTCTATAAGTGTGAGACAGACAATTATCAACTTTACTTAAAAATTGAGTGTGAGTGGTAAAAGACATAGCAGATGAAGATATGGCAAAAGTCCAAGGGACATCAGACTCAAAATCATAACACAGACGGAAGGAAGGAAGGAAGGAAGGAAACGTGTAATAAAAGAAGAGCCATGTGAGGTAAGGTCAAACATTGCACATTGAGACAACCAGTTCACTGATGGCTGATGGCACTGGGACACACATGAGAAGGAAACAAAGAAAAACTATTAAAACAAAACTAACAAAACTAGTAAGTCAACAAAATTATTTTTTTTTAAACCCTCCTTGCCGCCCCAGCAGAATGGACCAATGAAAAAACAATCAAAATTGTTTCAAAAAGAAAACGAACCTATTACTAGTAATATCATAAAAGTACAGGCATACAAAAACATAGAAAGAATTCTTTTTTTTTAAATGTTCGCCTATTGAAACAATGTAAAATAAGCTCAGGAACAAAATACAACTAACTAAACTTTCAAAGAAAACTGGCAAATATCAGACACAAAACCAGTAATACAATCTAGAAACGGCCTCTGTGCTTGATCTCTGTAGAGCACAGGCAGGAGACAATCTGAATTCTTTAAGGACTTCTTGTAAAACCGGTTTTGCAATCCAGTGATCTTTAGACAAATCACAGATGCACTGAGACTCTATAAAAAGGTTAACATTTTACTCTGTAACCAGGATTTTAAAAATGCAACTGTTGACTTATACAAATGTTCTGAGATACAAAAGCCAGTACCTAGTAAGTAGAAAATGAACACCATATTATGAACAGGAAAGAACACATAGGAGAAAAAAAAACTTAATTGAACAAAAGTATGTAAGTCGGCGGCACTGGACCGTTCCCAGTATAGAGGGTCGGTGAATACTGAGAATTCTTTAACTGTACTGGGAATCTGGAATCCTTAGCACAACAGTCTAGAATCCATACATCAATTCAAATGCTATACGTCTCATAATATCTCGCAAATTTTAATATGTTTCCCACACACGAACACATCAACTCAACTCATGTTTACGTTGGCTGTAATTCTGATATCTCAGCAGAGTCCCTGAAGAACAATATCTGGACAAGGAGAGGCCTTCACTTTGTTAATACTTGAGGAGCAAGGCCTTGGATGAAAACAAATGTAAACAAGTTCAGAAGCAGCTGTTTGATCACTAATAATGCATCCTTGACACAAGGAAACAGGTGTTGAATCCTATTCACATTGGTGTAGCTATGGTTATCATTGAGCTAGACGTTCATTGAATACCCAGTGCACACATTAGAAAGTTTCATCAAATCCCAGTTTGATATTATGTTCCTTTCATGCAGGGCAAAAGCTTGATCAAATCCTCCAAAATCAAATATGTTTTCGCTTTCTAGTCCAAATCGGGTCCATTTAGATGAAAATATCCAATGAGAAGGCTGCTACACATGCAGAGTCAAATTTTTTTTTACGCCATAGACTGTGATTTTACACTGGCTAGAACCATCACCCGAACCGACCTGATGCAGTCAGATCATGCATTTGACCAGGGGGCACCAGTTCCTCAACAAGGCCATCACCACAAAATTCAACCCATATGTATATTTGAGCGTGAACATACATTTGCGTTCAATTCAAGACAATAAAGGTTATCAATGAGGTGCGGGTCAGTCAATCTGTGATAGGACGTGGTTGAAAGCTCAACGACCGGTTGCCAAACAACGCATGTCCAGAAAAGGATTCAAACCCCCATCAAAGAATGTCATAGTCATGAGTCGTTCTGACAGACCTGATCAATGATCAAGTATTATCATATACTAGACCATGCATTCTCATTCATGGGCAGAAATGGAGACATGGAGTCCAAACAAATTTTTTAATTATGAAAACAGCCACAGTCAGAAAGAGTTACCATCGTTCTAGGTTGAAAAAAAGAGGTCCACTCTTTGTCCCTTCACTTTGGAAGACTTTTAAGAAGTTCCCGTCCGTTAGGTTTTTATAAAGAGCAGACCCCTCTCAAAAGCTACTATATCACAGTCACAGACAAGTCGCTGCCTCAGGACTGAAACAAATGAAGTAAAAAGAGTCACAGCTGTTACAACACTGAGCTCACACCACATGCCACTCACTCTTCTTTGCTAATTCATAAAAAGCAGTCCTATTGTTAAAACAGTTTTTACAGACACACTGTGAATTCTCCGTCGGATGTCAAACAAGGCCAACAATATGTCTCTTTCTCCTGTCCTCTCACCAGGCATTTAGTCTGTTTGTCTATTTGGAAGATGAACACGCCTAGACACCTAGAGGTATCATCTCATGGCTCACAGGTCGACATGTAATGAATATACCCCTCTCCTTATCCATGTCCCGACTCACATCCGCTGACAGTCCCGTCGTTTTTTCACTTCCCATCTAGCAACAAGACAGCAGCTCTCACACCCACAGCCACTCATCAGCTCACGAGTTGACCTGTCCATTCCCTGTGCCTGGCTGTTTGGAATTAATGAGATTCGAACATCATCCCATTACAATTCAATCTCACTAATGTTCATCCTTCATGACCTTGACTTCATATCTCATAACTACCAGTCTGAATGAACAATGCCAGTCCATAACCCTGGTACCCCTCTCTCCTAACACACTGATCTCTCTCTGTTCAGTGGGCTGTGCTGACAAAAAAATAAGTCATTTAAACCGCAACAGACAACTTCACAGAGCTTTCTACAATACGTCTGCCAGACTGACATACACCCTCATACTCCGAGCGAATCATCTGCATAGATATCAACTTCTCAGTCCAACTTCTCAGTCCCGCGACACCCAAGTTCTCTTGGCATACACATCCACATCTCTGATTCTGACAACTGATTTAGGTTCGCTGAATTTCAGGGCCTAGAACTTCCCCCAATGAGTCCTTTGTGGGTCACACATGTGAGATTGTAGACCATCACCTGTTCCACGGCAAAACCCACAATGATATCAGAGAGCCTACGTTTCTCCCTCAAAGAGCCAGCATTAAAAACAATCTCTTTGGAACATCACAGCAACTACAATGGCATTGGTTAGAAGGGCAAGAGCACAGCTGTTGCTTGATCGATTTCAACAACAGTCTCGGGGTTATCACATTCACACCAGGTTACTGTGCATCTTTCTGCCCCATGTAACATCATCAGCTCTCGAGCCTCGACCCCTCGTCTCTTACAGAGTTGTTTCCCATGTCTCTCACAGATTTATTTCCCCTGTCTCTCACAGAACTGTCTCCCTGTCCTGTGAACTTTTCCGTGAGGATGCAGCGGGTTCATCTTCCACCCCGTCAACGTTGGCAAAGGCCACACCCAGTCTGTGATGGAAGTCGTCTGTGCCAGCGTCCGTCTGCGGGGAGGACATCTCTACGATGGTGGTGAACGACCGCTGGAAGAGATCTTCGTGGTCCAGAGCCCGCCGTGGGTGACCCGCCACGCTCACATCCCCAGCCCGCCCTTCCTCAAGACAGGCCTCCTGAGTGGAGCTGTTCTCTGGTGGGTGTTCCACGTTGTGGTGTTGTTGATGATGGTGGTGACGGTTAAAGTGACCTAGTACCGGCCGTGCCAAACGCTCAATGCTGGAGGAGAGAGTGTGGAGGGGACCACGAGGTCTGTGGTGGTCCTGCGAGTCTGGCACCAAGTCAGCGCACTCCGCTGGTTCACCCTCCGTCGGTGTAATGAGCGGGCTCACATCAAGATGTGGGTCGACAGACGAGAAGTGGAACTCTTTTGTCGGGCTCTCGCTGGACCCTTGCTGCGACATACCCGACTGAGATATCGCTTGCTGGCGGGCCAACGCCGTACTTTTGGTCGAGGAGGCTTCTGCGAAAGGTTGCTGTTGAGGGCCACTGCTCGGTTGCGATGACTTTTGAGAAGTGAAAGACGTCTGTGAGGAAGCCGCTTGGCTGAGGCTGTTCTCGCTGGACGTGGTTGCAGTGGACAGAAGAAGGTTGCTGGATGTATTACTTCCCGTGGCACCAATCTCTGGGATCTGAGAGAGGGAGGAATGTTGCGACACTGGCACAAACTCGTTCGAACTGTGCGATGAATGAAGCTGAATACTGCCCAACAGGGGGACAAACTCCCCCGAGCCATGCGGGGTTGTCCTCCCCATGGGTCCATCGAGGACTTTGATATAGGGCGAGATATCGTGGAGCGACACGGGGTTCTCCGCCCCTGAGAGAGTGAAGGTACCAGAGTGCCGCGGGGAGTCCCTGCTCGGGTCACTCTCCTGGTGTCTGGAGACTTCATCGCCACCACTCACTGTCCCAGTCGGGAGATGCTCCAAAAGCTTCTCATTCTTTCCAGGGTGAGAAGCAGACGAGTGTATTTGCTTATCTTTCATGGAATTTGTCCCGTGAGTGTGAACAGCCAGAGAAGGAATGTCTTCCAGATACTCTTGTCCCAGTTTGAACCTGGCTCTGGCCTCTGGACTTCTGGCTTCTTTATCCTCTGACTTCCTCAAACTTCCCTCTTCCTCCTCCTCTTCCTCCTCCTTCCTCCTGTTCTCCACCCCTGGACGCTTTTCTGCTTCTATCTCTTCTTCGTCCTCCTCCTCTTCTTCCTCTGACTCCTCCACAAACTCTGACACAGCAGATTTCAAGATGGCCGTCTCATATGACAACTGCTGCACAATGCTGTCATTCCGCTTAAACTTTCGCTCCTGAATTCGCTGCAGCTCAGATTTTCCCGTTGTCCTGGAACCACCCACGGGTTCCTGCAGACTCATGCTCCTCCCAGGCAAACTGCCCCGCCCACCTCCACCACCACCAGGCGCTGTGCTGTAGCTGTTCACAGAGCTGGACATTGACACAGGTCCTGTCTTACTGGCCAGCAGCGACGACGCTGAACTGATGTCCTCACCAGGCCCCGAGGGGACGTCCTCATTCTCAAAGTTGAGCAAAGAGCTCACAGCGGAGCGGAACAGCTGCCAGTCCCCAAACCTCATGGCAAGGATCGGCTGTAGCTCGGAGAGGTCGCACATGGCCAGAACCAGGCCGGAGATGTTGTTCTCTCTGACACTGGCCTGATACTCGGACAACAGGCTGGGACTGAGGCCACGCAGCCGAGACAGAAGGTCGCAGACTTCCTGTACCGAGCACTGGGACAGCACCACAGGTTGGCTGTAGTTCTGGGGAGAAGAAAAGAGAGACCGGTGTGTGAGTTTTCCCAATTAAGTCACAAAGAGTTAACATTTTTTTTAAAGTATAAATAAAGAGAAACAAACCCCAAAAAACACCCAAAGTGTGGCCTGCTTTAACCATGAGATCAACAAATTTTGTTCTTCCTCAGACCCCCAATTGAATCTAAAGGGAAGGTTAAATTTTACCTGTTCTCCCCCTCCCCCCCCCCCCCCCCCCTTTAAAAATAGTCAAATTGTTTCATGGCTGATGTAAGATCGCCTCCTCAACAGGATTCTTTTGTCTGCCACAAATTGTACCAGCCCAGCAACAGCTAATATCTTACTTGCATTAGCACCAAGCCAGGTACAATTGTGAGGAAATTTTCTTTCCCAAAACAGAAAAAAAATAAAAACAAGCATGTATCTAAGAAACAAAGCAACAAACTTTTTATAACAATTTCTGCTACACAACCATTCGGCTAGCAGTCAACAAACGATCTGTACAAGTCACATACCATGAAGAATTCATTGGGATGTTTGACGGCCGAGTCGACAACTTTCCTCTGATCCGCCCCTGGCATTCTCATGCCATTTTGCGCAGCGCCGGGAGAGAAGAACTGCGGCATGCCCTGAGGATTCTGCTGTTGCTGTTGCATGGCAGCTGCAGCAGCGAGGGCAGCTGCGTACGAGACCTGGGGCTGAGCACCGTACATGCCGTAGAGCATACCGGCCGGTGTGAGTGGCGCACCGAAGCGAACGGGCGAGGACAGGAGTGCAACCCGCTCTGAGGCTGCTTGCTCACGTAGTCTGCTCCCCAGCATGGGTGCGGGCGGAGGCTGGGGAGGGGGGAACACACCGCCCAGTGTGGCTATCTCAGCCTGTTGTCGCTCCAAGTTGTGCTGGTTTTCTGGGGACCAGATGAACAGACGGACAAATTATGTACACATGGGCACGTTTTGCTGGCCTGAGACAACATGTCTGAGGATAAGGCAGGCCAAAGCAAAAATGGAAAATCAAATTTGCATTAATTCCTGTACTGAGATATGTTTTATGAAGAAAAACATAATAATTAACATATGATTGACTAAATAAATTGAATAACTGCTCGCTATTGCAGGTGTTCGAATATGTTAACTATCTCTCCTTTCATAATGAAGAAAGGGATTTTTGTAAGATTGGTTTGTTGCGACACATCTCACAGTAAAAAAAGATTACCAAACACCACAACACAAGACATTCCTGTTTCACATGGGCGCGTTTAATGATACGTTTAATGATACGTTTAATGATAAAATAACTGGAAAACATTGAAGCCACTCTTCCCTTTACCCCTCTCTTTAACTTTTTACTTTACTTTTCTTTTCTTCTCTCTCTCTCTCTCTCCCTCCCTCCCTCCCCT